ATATATATATATATATATATATATATATATATATATATATATATATACAAAGGCATTTTAAACCCTTCCCACACTCTTGCAATATTCTAAACAATGTTTCTAAACTCTCAACGCTCTAAAAAAGCACAGCATGTCATGATCTCGGCTCTCTGCCACAGCTGCGCCCTCGGCCACGCCCACTACTCTGCTGCAGAACAGAGATCAACAAAGGAAGGAGGAGGAGATGCTGGAGGAAGTTTCTCCTGCAGTGTGGGCTGCACAAAGGTGCAGCAGGTGCTAAATAATTTAAAATAATTCATTTAAAATAAAAAATTCCATGCTGATTGTGTGGCTCATCCATCAATCAGCCAATTGTGTGTCATGTCCAATCTTATTTTGAAAAACCAAGATAGAGCAAGTCCACGAAAAACAAGCCGCGAAGTAACGAGGGACTACTGTAGTGTGAATGTCTTATGAGTGTTAGTTTTTGTTTTAATGCAGTCATCTCCACCTTTGTTTGAGGTAATTTTCTTGTTTAATTTTTAGATTTTAGAACCTATTCCTAATGTAGTTCACCACTGTTCAGCTACTCTAGCTATTGTTTCTATTTTTTCGCTTTTACTGATTCTGGAATGAACATAATATTTAGAAGCAATTCTAGTACTGAACTTATTTCTACTTTTTTATTCACTGGGTATCAAAGCCTTATATCCATTTACATGCTGTGAAAGCTGGTGTGTAACTGTACAACATGGTTGACAACACAAATTGTAATTATTAAAAATACAATATGTTATTGGTCGTTTCAGAAAATGTCGTCTTCTTTCTTTTTTATATAATTGGTAAGTTATGAATTTTAACACCATAATTATAAACAAGCAAAGAAATAACAGAGTGGATTTTTTTTCTCTTTTGTGTAGGCCTTTCCTGTTGCTCCCACCTCTGATGGAGTGGATGAGAGTGGCCATAGTTCATGCTGAGCATCGAAAAAGTCTGTTGGTGGACAGTGACGATGTGAGACAAACCGCCAGGCTTCTTCTTCCAGGACTTGACTGTGAGCCAAGACAGCTGAGGTAAATGATACGCGCGCACACACTGCTCAAATCAACACACAAACATCCATCCATTATCTTTACTCACTTCTTCCTATTTGGATCATGGCGGTCACTGTGTGAGAGACGGGACACCCTGGACAGGTCTCCAGTCCATCACAGGGACACAAATGAGTTAAACAACCATTCACTCTCTCACTCACACCTAGAGACAATTGAGTTACCAATCAGCCTAGCATGCATGTTTTTGGTCTGTGGGAGGAAACTGGAGTACCCAGAGAAAATCCACACTCGCACGGAGAGAACATGCAAACTCCACCCAGAAAGGCCCCCGACCGAGATTCGATCCTGCAACCTTCTCACTGAGAGGCGGCATATCTACCAGCTGTGCCACCAACACACAAACATTCAATTTAAATGCTAATTTTTTAATGATAATTTTCTGGATTTAACTGCTGTCATTGACATGGATGTTTGTTTAAGATTATTCTGATTAACTGAAAAAGTTGCTCCCAGAGTGACCCATGCAATATAAGTTTGTACAATTTAACTAGTTTTCTGTGGAAAAATAAATACAAATTGCATTCATCGGATTAACAAATGGCCATTGGTTGCTAAGTACCACATTAATCTTTTTTAAACGTGTTCAAATGTTTGTGAAGAAAGCCATAAAGCATGTTGGGGTTAAAATGATTAAGCCACATGGTTTTCAGAAACTAATAATGAACTTATTTATTTCCTCTCAGGCCAGAGTGTTGCTTTAGCTCCTTTAAGCGTCTGGACTCGAAAGCTGCCATTGACAAATTTAATCTGGACTTGGGTTTTCGGATGCTCAACTGTGGTCGCACAGACCTCATTGGTCAGGCCATAGATCTGCTCGGACCAGACGGGGTTAACAGCATGGACGACCAGGTACTCCATCTATTGTTCATGTTGTGCAGATATGCTAAAAATCACAACTGCTTCTCTTTTCAGACAGAATGTAGCTACTCATAAAACACATTTATGTTGTGTATTGACCAAAATTTTATTGATAACAAGTTTTGGCAATATTTATGAATAAGTTCAGAAAACGTCACCAGATGAACTCATGTGTTTGAACACCAATTCTAAGTTCCTTTCCATCTTTGTCAAGTTTTTCTTTTCTTTTGTTTCATTTTACTTGACTGATGTATCGTAATCCGTGTGTTTGAAAGTAATATAGACAATAAAAAAGAAATAAAGCTTTGTAGACTGAAGCTAAAATCAAAATGTTCTATGTGCAGACCAGTCTTTTGGCCTTGAGTTGATGAAAACACATCTGGGCATTAAAAATGCTTTATTTCTTTGTTTCTGTTTGTTTTGTATTCACCACGCTCATTTCTGTCTGTCATCCAGGGTATGACCCCTATGATGTATGCCTGTGCAGCTGGAGATGAGGCCCTTGTCCAGATGTTGATTGATGCTGGAGCCAACCTTGATGTGGCGGTAAATATGCTTTAACAGTCAGAACAGCTGGGCCAGTTACCTTAATGTTGCACATTGTATATATACATATAAATCACATTATCAGCAACACGTACAGTGATCCCTCGCTACTTGACGGTTCAACTTTTGCAGGCTCGCTCTTTCACGGTTTTTCAAAATAAGATTGGACATGAAACACAATTGGCTGATTTAATGGATGAGCCACATGATCGGCATGGAATTTTTATTTAAAATAAATAATTTTAAATTATTTGGCATCTGTGTGCAGCCCACATGTGCAGGGAGAAGCTCCCTCCTGCAGCATGTCAGGATCTCCGTTCTGCAGCAGCGAAGTGGGCGTGGCCGAGAGCGCAGGCAGGTGGCAGAAAGAGCGGAGATCATGACATGCTGTGCTCTTTTAGAGCGTTTAGAGTTTAGAAACATTGTTTAGAATATTGCAAGAATGTGGGAAGGGTTTAAAATGCCTATATATATATATATATATATATATATATATATATATATATATATATATACTTATACTTGTACTACGATTTCTACTTCACGGTTTTTCACTTATCGCGGAGGAGCTGAGAACGGAAACCCCTGCGATAAACAAGAGACTGTGTATCTTATTTTGAAACATATTCCGATTTTTTTTTTTTATGTGTTTTTGTTATGTTTCAAGGTTCCGCCATGTTCCCCAAAGCACCCCTCAGTGCATCCTGACAGTCGACACTGGACAGCCCTCACCTTCGCTGTGTTGCATGGACACATCCCTGTTGTGCAGGTTGGAAACTTGCACACAAACACTCGCACCAAAACACACACGCACACAGAGGCCACTTCTGTTTGTCCTGTAGAAATAAAGTTTCCTTTAACTGTGTTTACAATATTATTAAACTTGACACATCTGAGGTCTGACTGCAGATTAGTTATAGGCTGTAGGACATTGTTCAATCTAACAGATGTGATGTTCCTCTGCAGCTCCTGTTGGATGCAGGGGCCAACGTGGAGGGGGCAGCAGTCCGCAATGGACAGGAGAGTACAGCAGACACTCCGCTGCAGCTGGCATCAGCAGCAGGTGGGCAAACACACACACACACACACACACACACACACACACACACACACACCCATACTGCTAATATTAGTGTAGACCAGCCTATTGTTAGTTTGGGTTATAACTTGACATATTGTTGTTAAATCACTGCTCTCTGCTAACAGATGCAAAACACTTGTAGGAGGGTTATAAGCAGAGGCAGCAATGATGAAGGAATGAGAACAGCTGTCATGGTTTTCTGCTACTTAAAACTAATAATCACTAATAGTTATTTGTAATCAACACCACAGTATGCTAGGTTTCCCAAAGACCATGAAGCTGTGTGTGGGAGTAATGAGGAGTAAATGAAGGTGTGGTGACAAGAGAGAAATGCTGCCTGCAGTTGTTTAGTCACTTCTGGCTGCATTCCTCAGTGGGGCCATCTGAAAGCCACACAAAGCTCTAATCCAACAGACACATGCACATTTGTAGTGACAGTGACCCGTGCTGTTTGTAAATCCAAAGTACATAATACATTCTTAGTTCAGTTGATTTGCATAGTGGAAAGAAAACAATAAAAACATCTAATATTAATCATTAATAAATAAAGACGGCACCAAACAGAAACAAAAATCAATTTTTGTGAAGGACAGTTTATTGTTTAATATTTGAAAAACAAAAATACTATTTGAATGTGTTTAGGAGTTGTATCTGTTAACAAGTGGGTGCGTTTATGTTCTCAGGCAACTACGAGATGGTGAGTTTGCTCCTGGCACGTGGCGCTGATCCTCTGTCAAAGACTCACGATGGAAGTGCCCTCACTTCATCCCTATATGAAGTCATGAACTGCTTCAGTCATGCTGCTGCACACGGACACAGGTACGTGTGCAGGTGCTCGGTTTGGCCTTGAAGAGCTCGACACAAGTGTTGACAACTGATGCAAGAGGAAAAACAAGTTCAAACTGAATATTGTGATGATATTTACTCCCAGAATTGAAACCCTAACAAGAAATTTGTCCAGAAGATATTAAAAGTGAAAGTGGGGAAAATGATTGCAGGAGTCTTGCTTTCACCAACTGGTCGTGTAAACTTAATCCACCTGTTGGTTTTGTGCATGTGTGCACACCGTGTAGACTCAACACTTCACATTCCACACAGACGATGATGGATTAGCTAATCACAGAGGAGATTACAGGGTCAGAAACATGCAAGTCTGTTGGCGTTTGGGTGTATATCAATGATTCCATGCTTTCTGTTTCCTTCCCTCTTCTTTCCTCCCATTTATCTTGTCAGGAACGTGCTGAGAAAGCTACTGACTCAGCCTCAGCTAATCAAAGAGGATGTCCTGTCTCTGGAGGAGATCTTAGCTGAGGGGGTGGAAGATGAAGTTCCAGGGTTCTGCCCTTTTTTCCCTCTCCCCTTGTCAACTCCTGCCAATGGCACTGCAGCCCCACAGGAAGTGGGGGTACCAAAGCTGTGCAAGGCCAGAATGAAAGCTCTGCAAGAAGCTAGCTACTACAGCGCTGAGCATGGCTACCTGGATGTCACGATGGAGCTTCGTGCTATGGGTAACTTTCAGATGGCACAAAGAGGATGGAGTTAATTTTCTAATACGTGCAGAACCAAAACCCAAATCTTTTCTTTCTAACTAGGTGTACCGTGGAAACTACACATGTGGCTGGAGTCACTCCGTTGTGCTCAGCACCAGTCCAAGACAGGGGTCACCCTTTCCCTCCTTAGAGAATTCACCACAGTCCGAGAAGAGGACTACTGTGACGAATTAATCACCACGGGCTTACCTCTTATGTTCAGTATCTTGCGTACCACCAAGGTACCGTCAAACACAAACCAGGTTGTCGTTTGTTTTTGTTTCACTCTGTTTCAGTGTTAATGTGCTGAACCTCTTTCTGTTCCCTTCTCTAGAATGATGCCATCATACAGCAGCTGGCAGCTATTTTTAGTCATTGTTTTGGCTCAGCACCTCTTCCATCCATTCCTGAAATGAAAGCAGCTCTTTCTGCACAGTTGGGTAAGAAAGCCTTGATTAGAAGTGTGCGAACTGACTCGCTCCAGTTTAGACTTGTGTAAACTAATATGCTGATGTATCTCTCTCTCGCTCTCGCTCGCTCTCTCTCTCTCTCGCTCTTATCCATCTTTTATATATATAGTTTAATATTGTGCTGCCTTGTATTTTATGTATAAAAGAACCAAAATGCTGATAACTCTTAATTATTAACTGACACCCAATACTATAAAGCTTTAACACTTAATTGGTTTGAAATGATTTTTTTTTTCCCACAGACCCCCATTTTTTAAATAATCCAGACATGTCAGATGTGACATTTATTGTGGAGGGAAAACCGTTCTACGGACACAAAGTCCTTCTGATCACTGCCTCTGACAGGTAAGCACACCGTCATTACTCCACAGATATGGAGCATTTGTTTCCATAAAAAGTACGCAAATGGGCTTTGATGACAATACTTCATTCCTTTAGGTTTAAATCGCTGCTAACATCTTCTGGACTGGATGGAAGTCCCAACAAAGAAATTGAGATCTGTGACGTAAAGTACAACATTTTCAAGGTTAAAAATAACTTAAATCACAAATCGGTTACAAATATTAACCACTGTACTGACTTGGTGCTAAACATCACCTTGAACTTCTTTGCAGATGATGATGTCATACTTTTATTGTGGAGGGACAGAATCGCTGAAGACCAGCATGCCTGACTTACTGGAGGTAAAAATCATAGTAAAGTTACACAATACCTGCCAGTAGTTGTCTTGGTGTTGAAAAGTGACACATTCACAAAAGTTGCGGAAACCCATTTCAAATTCAGCATAAATTTTCATCACAAAATGTATTGTATGTAAACAAAAGTGTAGTGTTATTTTTCATTAGTTAATGTAAGCCATGCATAACTGAGGACACTCATTCACCTGTCAGGATTTGGAGGCATAAGGACCATCTTTTCTTCAAATGGGAAAAGTGAAAGTTTGGCTCATTTCAAGACAAAAGGGAAAAAAGAAACGATTAAAACAATCTCTGATTTAATTCAGTCCACAATAAAGTACAGTATGAACTTGTAAATTGTGAAATTGAAGTATTTCTTTCTTCAGTTTCAGAAACACGTGTTACTTGAAAAGCTTGTTCTGTACAGTATATACAATGAAAATGAGTTTATTCCATCAACATCCTGTTAATTATATTTTCAGTTGAGCTCGACCTTCAGGTAGTTCTCAGAACAGCCTGCTTTAAGCAGATATGAGTTCATTAAATTCAAGTACACGCATGCCCAAATGAGATCAGGCTGTGACTCACACTGAGCACAAACAGTTACAAACTAATCTAACACTGACTGACTGGTTCAGTCTTTCGACGTGCATGTTTAGAAATGTTCACACCAAAACAAAATGTGTTTAAGCATTTCTTTATCTGAGCATCAATACGGGCTTCCTTTAAAAGTTTACAGTAGTTCAGTTGAAAAGTTTACAGGGCTTAACAAAGAATCAGATTCAAGTTATTAGAACTTGTATTAAAGTTGATAAGAAACAACAATATGGAAACATACAGTGCTGACATTGTGATGACATTATTATTATTATTATTATAAATCTATTGAAATCTTTTTTTGTTTGTTTTTTTGTCCTGCAGCTGCTGTCAGCAGCCAATTTATTCCAGTTGGGGGCGCTACAACGACACTGTGAGCTCATCTGCTCTCAACACATAAACCTGGATAACGCAGTCAGCATCTACAAGACAGCCAAGGTAAAGTACACTGAAAAGAACGAGGTTTATCATTTTCAGGAGAGCTAGAATGTCATTTGATGAGCTGCTAACACAGAATCATGTCTTGTCCTTTTTTCAAACAGACACATGGTTCAGTGGAGCTGTGCTCGTTCTGTGAAGGTTACTTTCTGCATCAGATGTCTGCACTATTAGAAAGAGAGGCCTTCAGGACCCTGTTATTGGGACCACCTGGAGCTCGACAAGGGAACAACTCCACTTCTTCACTGGCTCACAGCCGTGGTGACTCACCTCTGGAGGAGCTGGAGGCCGCCCTGGCTCAGCGTCTACGCTCTCTACACATTTCATCTAGAGTCTGAAGACATTTGGAAAGACGACACAGATAAATGGCAAAATATGACAGAAAAGTATTCAAAGCAGATCCCCAGGAGTGCGTTTAAAATCAGACTTAGCCTTTCAGACGTCTGATTCTGATGGCTATAGAGCAGCTCACGCAGTACTTTGAGACTGAAGCAGATCCATGAGTAACTTTAGCAGCAGTTTACTTTCAGTATTTCATATTTTGTGCCAAGCGCTCCATTGTGAGTCATTGTAAAGGACATGTTTATAAAGAAGACTGTTGCACAATGTGATGTTTGATTCTCCTCCAAGGCTCAGGAAGCTCACCAGGAGAATCAACAGCAGGATCCAAAAAGGAACATTAAAAACACACTGCTGCCACCTACTGGACAAAATAAATCATTGCCTCAGATGAGCCTCAGAACTTTGTAGGTTTTGACTGAAACTGTGTGAATAGACTGAATCATCTGAGATATGCAAGGCTCTGTTCAAATGTTGAAGACTGTTGAAGATGTCTCCTATGGTGATATAAACTTTGAATTAACATGTGCTTTTTGATGCTATTGTATGTTTGCTTTTTATATTTTTTTTAAATATGGCCAGAGATACACGTTTAGTGCAGAATGGGATGGACGTTTTCTATTTAAGAAAAATATAACAATGTATTTAATGGGGGTGTTCCCTTCTTGTTTTTATTCCTAGCTAATAATGCTATTGTAAAGTTAATGCCTGTGCTGTTCATTTAGGTAAATTAAAAGTTAAATAAGCTTATATAGGTTTGAACAAGAAGTCTGTTTTTAGAGCTGAAAAATGAAATAAACCTGGTAAAGCAATCATGTTTTTTTTAGAAGTACAAGCAGTCTCTACCTGTTTGTGTGGACTTGACCTGAAAGCACTTGGATGCATAGTTATACATGTAAATACATGCAATTTTGCAAAAATAAATAAATCGGAAAGCAAAAAAGGCAATTTAGTCAAAACATGAGAACTAGCTTTACCCTTATTTCCAGAGCTCTAGCCACATATCGGAATAAGAAAAACAAACGCACCATAACTGAATGAATTTATTTGTTTCAGCACTGAAGATGCTCACAGTTATTTTTATATGGGGGATTACATCAGTAAGTTTTCTTCCTGCTCTCTCAGAAGACCCCTCGGGCCTACAAGTACAGGATGCCAGTGCTGCTAGCTTCCCATTGTAGTCAACAGAAAGGAGGGTGAACATCAGGTATTGCTTTGTTTGTAGTACTGGTATATTCCTTCCTGTGCCACTTCAACCAGCAGGTAGAGAGTCCAGACCTCCGAGGTACAGAGTGAACGAAGCATTGTGCACGAGATTGGTAGGAGGAGGAAGGGGGTGGGGTGGGATAGCAAACTATAAAGCTTAAAAAGAGAAGGCCTTGAGAAAATTGAAAGGGTGAAAGTAGATAAGAGAAGGGAGTTTAAACTTTAATAAAAAGGTTTAACAGTGGGAGAACCAATGAGGGCTGAGAGGAGTGGATTTGGCATGGAACATTAACACTAAAGCCATGCAAAGAAAAGCTCATGTTTGACATGCACACAGCAATAACAAGCTAAAAGCATAGAGCAGGAATCCCCAGCACGGGTGAGAAGACAATCAACCCCCACAGCTTTGTCTATTTACAAAGAGAAGACCCAGACTGGGATCTGTGGTGTCCTCCTCAGGCCTGGCGTACACGCACAACAATATGAAACTGACAAATATCAATAGAAGAGCATATTCCCTCTCCAAAAAGAGGCTAAATCTACATTCTTAAAGGACTTTTACATCATTTTCGTTTCCAGAGTTCCCACAAATTCTTCTTTCCATTTCAGTAAAGAATTTGAGTTGTCAAAGTTCACATAATTTTGTTTAAATTAGAACAGAGCAAAAGGAAATTATAATAAAGTTATTTTTTTTTTAAGTGTTGTCCCATTTACAAACACACAAGAGGGTAGTAAATAACATTCAACTGACCTAACAGCTTTGTTCATATAAATAGCCAAGTTATAATAAATTAGGAATCAAACATTTAGGTGAACAAACGTGAATAAATAAGGACAACAATACAAAAATATCCACAATTGCATTTATCACATCGTTTTTTGGTCCTCTACTCCTACTGCTGGTATCTGAGACTAAGAGAGAGGTACAAATGGAAAAAAAAAACAATAAAATCTAAGAAAGTGCTGCAGAAAACAAGAAACGGGAAATCATTTTCAGATCAACAAAACAAAATTATAAATGATCATGTAACAAAAAATACAAGGAATTTAAAGTAACAGAACGCTGCAGGCGTTTCCTGTTTCTATGGTATCTAAACAGTGCCACAACTAGACATTTCATTGATTTGTTTACATTAGAAATAATATCAGTCTGTACAACAGAATAAATCATTCATTTTAAATACCCACATACCCACCCACAACCCTCCCCCCATCCCCATACGATCATTTCGACTCCCTTGCTGCCCTCTGCCCAGTTTCTGCTCACACCCAGCTCCTCTCTGAAATCACAATTCCAGTCCGTGTTGCAGCAGTAGTATGACGTCTAATAAAATCAGTCATTCAAACCCAGTTCATCACAAAGTACATTTAAAAAGCAAACGAATACAATCCAGCAAGCGTCCGCGTCGGCTGTTTGGACTTTCCACAAAACTTTTCTTCGAGTCTCTCCTCCTCGACTTTCTGAAAGTTTTTTTTATCATGTTGTTCATAATCTTTGATGCATCCCAGAGTTTGTTTTTTTGTTGTTGGTGGGTTTTTTTGTGCATACTGGACTTGTGCGTGCATGTTTATGCCATGCTTTCAGTGATTTTAACCAAAGCTTCTTCTTGTTTCCTCAATTTGAAAAGAAAAAGCCTCGAAAACTGATAAAGTTGTTGATTGTGTTGCTGTGTGTGTGTGTGTGTGCGTCTTCAAGAATTTGGGGCCAGGATGAGGCAATGAAGGATTTTCATCTACTTCTACGGATGATTGCCGAAGGCTGCAAAAAAATGAAGGCAGGAAGAGTTTGTTTCCATGGTAACCCCCGAGCACACCTCTGAAAGCGGTCCTCCGTCAACAAACGTCCAACTCTCTTGATAAACTCGAGGTAGGGAGGGGAGAAGGGGGCGGACAGGTGGTCGAGGGAGGGCGGATGAAGCACGAGGAGGGACTTTAATAGGTTTTCTGGATAATTCCTGGTGTAAGAAACGAGTCAGGTCATTACATGGGTTAGTAGCACCATATGAGAACACAGAAGATGGGTGGTGAATGATAGTTGAAAGGGATGTAAAAAAATAATGAATTTATGTTTACTATGAAGGTGAAATATCCTATTTGCAAACTATTGTTTGAATTCGCTCAATTTAAATAAAATAATTTGATAAAAAAATATGTTTATAAATGATAATGTGACTCTGCTTCTGAACAGAGAGTTGTCTCTGTGCCGTTGGGCTTATATTCATACTGGGATGGCTTTTGCGCGGGCTCAACTACAAAGTTTCTCTCGGTCTAAGACTCCTCCTGTGCCCCCACAGACGGGACGGACAACTTGGCTCTGTCTCGGCCTGCAGGTGGGAGTTTGGTGTCATGATTTTCTGACTCGTGCCTCCGGACGTGCATGGGAGAAGGGCAGTGCTTGGAGGGCGTGCCAGAAGGGTGGGGCACCTGTCCGTTCTTCTCGTCTGAAAAAAGTTGTTTAATTACGTCAAAGAAGTTACTCATTGGGCTGCCTAGGTACACAGACAGGAAGAAAAGAAGACAAAAAAGGGGGGAAAGAGGAGAAAGAGAACAAACAAACTAATAAACAATGGGGTTCACAGGAAAACGATGTGGCTACATGTGAGATGGAGCAAGCAGAGGTGCAGACAAGAACCGCGAGTGAAGATAAGCACCGCTCGAACTCCCACGGATCATGCGTATGTCACAGCAAACAAGTAAAAAACACTAGTGAGTAAATCCAACAACGTTCAGTCAGGTCATCTGGACGGTTTCTTTTTGTGTTGAGACGTTTCGTCCTTCATCCAAAGGACTTCATCAGTCTGAGGAGCCACAACAGAGTCCCACAAGCAGCACACTCCCATACTGTAGTGGACCAACCAGTTTGTTGGTGACAAGATGGTTTCTGGGGCCCGCCCTCTCCCCCGTCGACCCCGTCAGATCCAGATGACCTGACTGACAACTTTGTTGGATTTTTACCTGTATTGAGCATGAACTTTGAACTATTGAGTAAAACCACAACTACAGATGAACGTTAATACTCTAACAAACTTAAAAAATACATTTTAGAAGACACCCTTAACATAAATCATCTCAAATAGGTCTGATCAGATGTTTCATTTATTTTATGTATTCACTTTTAATCTAATGACTTATTAATCCCATTGAGATCAAAACAAAGTTTCAAACAATAATGTAGAGAAGAATTTGGCTTCAGTTCAGAGTTTTACAAAAAGAATTGCTAAACTTTGCCAACAGCATTAACATAAGATATATATTTTAGGTGTTAAATCTGCACCACATTAAGAACAAACATTGGGAGATTTTATGTTTTAAATCATGCATTAAAGTCTAATTCTGTCAGTTGTTTTGTCCACATGCTGGACTACTTATGATGTTACTATTTGACAAAAAATAAATCATGTTAAAGTTTTGAATCTTGTATTTGTTGTTATGTTAGCGATAACATCGTGTGCAGAAACTTCTCTATGGATGCAGACGTGTGTGAATCGTGCCACGTTACTTTTGGCAGCTGCATTAGTGAGATGGAAAACAGCTTCTGTCTCCTTTATGCTCTACCTTTCTTATTTGTGAACAGGTCCACATTCTGTCCCTCCTCCTAAATCTGTACGCTTTCACAAAGGCACAAAACCTGTTTAACTAAACGATGAACACGGATCAATAGAACACCATTTTCTAAGAGAATAGTCCAACGATGTGCCTTTGAATGCTTTTCATACTTCGTTTTCTTCTCGTCAGTTCTCTTCCTAAGCTGGTCTCCAAAGTACGAAGACAATACAGATGATTATATGAGACAATAATGACCAAGACTCGATTTAACCCTTTTGTTTGACGCTTATTGTTATGCAAAGCTCTTTCTCCTGGTGGTTAGAGTCATTTGGCTTTCGTCTTTAAAGACCTTGTGGTCAAAGAGGAAGAGGCAGCCTTGCTTTAGTTCCCTGCTAAGGACACGTTAACCTTCATAGAAGGACATGAACCTGAGTGTTTGGATACTGCATCTAAAGCTGCACTTTATAATTTAAGTTTTATAAAATAAACAATATCTTCTTTTATACAAAGTGCTCTGATTGTACTCTTAGAATGTGATCCCAGCTTCGCAGACAGCCCACTGCAGTCATAAAAAACTAATTTGACATAATTTAACATAATTTCACCCTTCCCATAACTTAGTCAGACAATGAGCTTGACGGATTGAAAATAATTGGTAAACTTACTGAGGCAAAGCACAACAGACTTAAATATGGCAGAGGGCACAAGACAGAGCTCATTCTTGAGTAATACTGGAAATAAATGGGATTATAGTGCAAATACATGCAGCGTGATGGAAGTACAGTAACCTGTGTCTGACATGAATCTGAGAATGAGACTTAAGAGGATAAAAAAGACTCTACGAGAGCAAGGGCTCAATTAAAACATGGAATGAAACTGATATATTTGAAGGAAGCTGCAGATATCTTCCCTCAGTAAGCCTGATTCTGTTTTCCTGTCAAACCAGCAGATGGAGGTGTTATGAAGAGAATGAGACGTGAGAGAGTCCAACAGCGGTGACTCACAAGAACGAACGTGCAGAGAACAGAAGGAGAGGAGAAAGATCCCTAATTCTCTTTTATTCTCCTCTTTCCGCAGACTGTGCAGTGATGGGTTATTTTATATTATAGGCAGAACAGGACTTTTATTTGTCCAAGGACTCTGTAACAGCCCTGAATCTAACAAGCAGACTGAAGGGAAATCATAAAGCTCGCACAAATTAAATATTGACTGTCAGAAGTTTTTTTAAAATTTGGTTTTAAGAGCAACAGAGGCAACCAACGCATTTCGTTCAGTTGTTAAAAAACAGTAAAAATAGAACAACTGATAGAGACAGGGTTGAACGCCTATCAGGTGTGGTGTTACTGTGCAGCGCAGTGCGTTCTTGGTAGCGTGTTGAGGTGCAGCGGTGTTGCCATGGCGACAAGCTTGGGCGAACGGTCTGGAAAGTCGGAATAGGAGCAGGAGAACCAGCTTAATCTAGCGCTGCTCTACTTTTTAATCTTCACCGCCGGGGCAACAAGGCAACATTTGACCCACAGCCGGTGCTCGAGAGCAACCAACCGCTGCCCATTCAAGCCAGCGAGGCGCAGACATGCAAAGAAAGCCATTTGGAAAGGCAGAGCGCGGCTCAGGGGTTTCAAGCAAAGAGAAGGGCAAGATTTAGCTTAGCCTAAGCTGTGAAAGTAGTTCATTAAGGGGTGGGATGGAAAGATGAGGCAGTAGGGGAATGGGTGAAGAAGTTTATTTGGGGGGAAAATATGCATTTGTTCATTTTAATATATAGATTTTGTAGAAAAAGTAGCCAATATTACTCACCAGAGAGCTGCTGAACCCCAGGCTGGTCATGTGTGCTTAACAACTGACTCTGAATCGTCTCAATCACTCGCTTAAAACGTCGGCTTGGTCCTGTTTAGACACACACATATGCAGGTAAAATGAACAAAGAAGACTTTTAAGTGCAGATGATGAGCTGTGGCTTAGTGAAGAAAAAACAGGTGGGATTAATAAATTAACACTGGCTTAGCTCCATCAACTGTTCCAGGAAGCCATGTTAGGGAAAGAGTATACACAAAAGAGCCGCCTCCCCTAAAAGTGGCAAGCAGCCATCATAAATACACCTGTGCTGCTCTGTCTGCAACGAGACAAAATTTGCATCTGGATACACAGCAGGAAGAAGCTGAGCATGCAGAAACTGTGTGACTGGAATATGTAAAAAAGAAGGAGGAAAAAGTTGTGTAAAGTACAAAAAACTGTGCAGAGTGAGATGCTAAATTTGATGTAGTACACCGAGGCCAGGGAGAAGTACTGTGAGCTCTTGCTGTCTTTCTAGTGTGCATAAGTATAAAAAAATGGTATAAAACAGCTTCTACTCCACCCTGTTCAGTCAAATGGAGCCCCCTGCACATGGTTAAAGGAGCTAGTTTTATATTTTTGAGACTAAAGCCAAGGAATTCATTAAAGTTGTTAGATTTGTCAGTTTTGTGGAAGTTGAATTGGGAGTAAAGATTGAATTAGGGTTAGAACAAAATAGAGTCAAAGCTATTAGATAAGTAGTGCTGGTTACAGTTATTGTACTTGCCACCGTACACGTCACACCGCCCTATAAGTCGCATCAGTCCAAATATGTCTAATAAAGGCAGATAAATAAATATGTTGCTTCGCCGTATAAGTCGCATTTATTATGCATCACTGCTGACGCGTCGTGTTTGTTATGCGTCACCGCGGACAACCAGGAAATGTGGGCTGTTGTTGTGCCAAAAATCGATTGGCTGCCAAATGGCAGCTGCAAGAGCGTGCACGGGAGGACTTTAACAAGATTTTAACAAGATTAACACTTAAAAACAATTATTTGTTTGCTAAACTTTATAGCAAAGGTGTGTCTCAATTTAACTTTTCCTTAATAATTGCACTTTGACGGTACAATCAGCTACATTTAAAAAGCTGATTCGCGGCTGAGGGAATGCGCAGAGGGATGACTCGCTGTGCATTTCTTTGTAATTTAACAAGATAACCACCTAATAACAATTATTTGTTTGCTCGACATGATAATAAAGGTGTGTCTCAGTTGACCTATTCCTTAATAAATGCACTTTAAGGGTCAAAGAAACTGCATTTTGCCTGGGCGGCGCAACAAATTGCAGCTAATTTGACATTTGCTCCAGTACAAGGGAGCGAGACGAAGGTGGCTTTGTATGGCAAGACAAGTGTCTCATTAATAGCCACTTTTACCTGTTAATGAGATACTTGGCTTGCCACATGGGTCGAGGGCCCTCTAGCGGCTGAAAATGGTAGTGTTCAATATTTTCCATGTCAGAATGAATGAAATCATCAGATCTCAGCCAAAAATTGGGTTATAAATATGGGAAAAACATAAATATGTTGCTTTGCTGTATAAGTTGCAGGCATGCTAATTTATGCAAAAAACTGTGACTTATACAGCGAAAATTATGATAATGATCTGCCCCTATATAATGTGCTTTTCAATCGTATCTTTGGTCTAAAGTTTAGACTCTATGCATACCCTACATACTGTAGGCTTTCACACTAACTGTTTACACAGGCATGAAGAGATTGTACTTTTATACAAAGAGTTTCAGTCACTTTGACATAAAATGATAAACACGTCAGGGACAATGAGGGACAGATCAGATTGCTGATAAATCAACTGGGAAACTGCCACTGTCTTATGAGAGGTTGTCTTCCCAAAGGTTAAGGTAGGAGTCTCAGAGGCTCCCATATGAAGTAAAACACCAACATGCATGTGCTTCTGTAAAACTAAGCAGTCACACATGACTGCTCAGTGTGTAATCTTGCTTCACCAGACCTGCCTTTGTTGTGCTCAGAGAGGCACGGAGCGAATCTTATCAAGCCCTTAGAATTGTAAAACTTTAGGAAATTCTCAGTCTTTATTTTTGGAAGCAAGAGTGAAAAACACCCACCTCTGGAAAAAATGCTTCAAGTTTGTTTATTTATTTATTTGGTGGATTTGAGCAAATTGTAATGCTATTAGTCTGAAGTGTGACAGTATTCCAGTTGACATGTTTGTGGCAACGTTCCACTATAACTTTTAAGTGATTTGGACGCTTGGATTCCACAAGAATTTTGAAAAAAAATAACTTTTAAAGACAATACGAATAAACACTATTTGATGCAAATACATCTTGTTACCTGATGAGTTTTTATAGAAAAATTACAGGTTTGAAATTGTTTTTTGTATTTGCTGTGTACAAAATTAACCAGTTTTAAGGCTCGTCACTTTTAACAAAGTTTCTTTTTTGACTTTTATGTTTCACTCTTTTTTTACCCACTAGATGCACACAAACCTGGCAAATTGAAGAACTGATGCATGAAGCCCCACGATAAGTCGATAAGTGAAAAACCACCAAGAAGGAATAGTAGTAAAAGTAGTAAGTAGTAGTTTATTTCAGTATATATACA